GTCTCATGCAAACGCTCCCCACGCTCCTCCCGGGGCTGGAAAGGGGTGAATTAACCTCCAGTTTGCTAGTAAAACTGAATTACTGTGTCACAAAATGATGCATGTCTAAAAAGTGTGTCACCAGCATGAAAAGTTTGGAAAGCTCTGCTCTAGATGTTGATGAACTACAGCTTCTATCATTCTTGACCATTAGCTATGCTGGCTGGGACTGATGGAAGTTGGGAATCTAACAACACCAGGACAGCCATGGCTCAGACCCTCTGACTTTCTCTGTCTCTCCCAAACCCATTGTCAGATGGAACCAATCTGTACATGGGGTCAGCTCATATATGCATTGAGCAATCATGGGAAAGGAAAGCAATTAGATAGGAAGAAGTTCTTAGAATAATTGGTGACATTCTACTGCCAAAGGAGAACCCATTGGAACACTTGTATTATACTAGCAAACAGTATTTTAATATTTTGGGAAGTGAAGTCAAGAGAAAATTGTATTGTATTGTTTTTGTAGTGTTTAAATTGTTGGAAAAGTAATAAATATTATTTTCAAAAAAAAAAAGAGAAAATATAGTAGAGGGCATCTTCTCTCAGGGAGATAATTCATTGGGCCCCTGTGGCTATTGATGAGCTGGACTCCCTCAATCCACTTGGACTGTGCCAATGGACTATGTGCCTTTACAACAGACCTGTCTGCCTATTTGTGGCACCTTGGGGCATTCCACACACCCATTGTTTGCATCCCTTTCCCACATCTATATGGGAACATCTAACACTTGCTGAAGCCAATCAGGGGGTGAGATAATGCCTGCATCTTTACAACTGCATAATGGCACCAGCTTTTCTAGCCTGTAGCAGCCATTCATGCTACATGGGTCACCTATTCTGTCTGACATGCCTTCTCAGCATATGAATTTCTGGGAGAGTGAATTATTTCTGTGCTTTTGCTACGGAACTCAGTGAACAGTAGATTGGGGGGGGGGGATGCAGGGACTGACGACAGGAACAGAGCAAAATTAGAGATGGAAGAAGGGCATAGGGAGGATTGAGAAATGGAAGTGCAGAGAGATCTGTGGGAAGGTAAACAGAAAAACATGGGGTGGGCAGACCAACCTGTGGTTGTGGAAAACGAAGAGAGACCACTATTGGATGAAAAAGCAGGCTATCATGTTGTGTCGAGAGACCTATGGAGTGAGGAAAGGGGGACAGTGGTGAGGTGGAAGTGTGGAGTGATTTGTGGGTAGGAAACTGAAAAAGAAGGGGTAACTGAGAGATGGAGTGCAGACCAAGAAGAGAACATGTGCATTGCTATGGGGTGCAAAGAGAAAGTGCTGTGGAGTGGAAAGAGAGAGAAAAAGATGCCCATAGTAGTGTTAAGAGAGAAGATATTGTTGTGGGGTTCAGAGAAAAAGGGAGGTTTGACGTGAGAATAGAAAACCCTACATAAAATGGTGGCAAAATGTGTTTTTTGTGGTTATTATAGTGAAACAGTTTGTAAATAAAAGTTAGTAAAAAATACAACAATGGCCCTTAGGGTGATTTCACTTGTGTCCTGCTGAACAGCTGCATGCCGCTTATTCTGATGAAGGTATTCCTGGGCAATAGAAACACAATTTCCACTTTTTTGTTGAAGGCAATACTTCACATTTGTCCCAAGCAGTACTTCTGTTGCTGGGATACTGTATTATTTTCCTGGTGTTTGGGGGATGTTAGATTTTTATTACCAGCAAGGGTTGTATCATTGCAAATTGGATCACCTTCTAGAATGTGGCTTCATGAACATCAAAAGCATCCGTTGGAAACCTCAGTATTTTCCCCAAGGGGCAAATAGCACCTTTGAGGGGTAATTTAAATCAAGAAAACAGTACAGGGGAGAAAGAGTCATCATCCTGCCCTGCACCTTCAGTCCTGATTACATCCCCTTCCCAGCTGCTATGAACTTAAAAAATGAAGCACAGGCAACCGTGATCATGAAGTTCCTACAATATGCAGTTAGGGTACACATATCTTAATTGTCTGGATAAGTCTACAGAGTTCTCGCACAATGAATCAATAGAGTTATCACTGATGTAGAACCAAGTTGAATCCAATGAGTTTGCCTTCTCCACAAGCTCAAAATAAATGTGAATACTGGTAATTGTCGCCTATGTGCTGTACAGGTTGCACAAAATAAATGTTAGGCAGATATAATGGTTTGTTGGTTTGTTTGTTGCATTTATCTACCACCTTTCTGTGAAGGGGGTTTACAATTTTAAAATAGTAAAACAAATATATGATATAAAATGCAGAAGGAGGAATTCTACAGTGCCCTAAGGCAAGCATTTTGGTCCTGGGCTTCCTTAGAAAAATTTCATGCATTTGAATTAATACATGAATCTGTGCAGAGGCCATTTTAGTGTGCTTCAGCTCCTCTACTAAATTTAGATCCTCTGGGAAGTACTTCACCCCAAACCAGAGGTTGATTATTAACAGAGGAGCTGTCTACAGAAATACCCCAATAGATAACCCCCTAAACCAGCTTTTTCCAACCTTGGGCTATTCAAATGTTTTAGATTATAACTCCTATCATACCTTTTAAATAGCCATGCTAGCTGGGGCTCCAAAACTCCTGGAAGGCACCAGGTTGAGGACATCTGCCCTAAACTTGCTCTGTGACCTGATACTATCATATGCATCAACAAGTTATTATTTCATCCCAGGACAAGTTGTCATGTAAACAATAGCTGGGTAGATTATGGCAGATGTGAAGTTCACAGTTTCACTTTTTTAAAAAAGAAAGCAGAGGCCTATGAATGATGCAAGATAATCAGCAACAAGAGGGTATGAATAACCTCAAAATAGCAACCCTTGAGATAACAACCTTTAGTTCTTGACCATGCAGATAAGCCCAGGATGTGAACTGAGTTTTCACTGTGCACATGATCCACATGATTTCTTGACGTCTCGGTCCTACTCCTTACCCACCCACCCATTTGCAGTTATGAGGATATTACTGAGCATTCTTTCACGTCCACCCCCCCATCCGCCCCAGATAACTAAGATAAGAAATATAGTGTGCTTGGGATTCTCAGAAGCCCTAAATAAATGCTAAATCTTACTATTTTTAACACTGTTCACCTCAGAGAGCTCCAGTGTAAGTGATGAGGTAGAAACTGTGTGAGGTTTAGATTGTTCTTGCACCTGTCGTGAGTCAACAATTGTGTCAGATATTTGTGTGGGAAGAATATGGTTAGACATAGAAGCCTCTCAAGTGACTGTGGAGTCCTTTATGTGCTAAGTCACCTGGCTGTTCAGTGCGCTCTTGAAGGCTGGGGTTCACCAGCTGCCACAGTTGCACAATATCTTTTTGTTCCTCATCCTATAGTTAGAAGGGAGAAATGGGGACAAGGAGTTGTTAGTGGCTCACAAAAATGCAATCCATACAAAGCTCCTACTTCTAGTGCCCTACAGCCGCTGCCGAGGAGCCAGGCTTCACAAAAGGGTCCGTTCCATTAGCACATTCCTTGGGGCAAACCTGTGACCCGTTGCTAATGTTGGCTTTCAAGGTACAGAGGAGAGGCAAGCTACTTTTTGTTGGAGAACTATCTGCATACAAGCAAAGCATGGCTGGAATTCTATTGCAGGAGGCATTTGATAGCAGGGCATGGAGCAAGGACCAAATAGTTTCTGTTGATGGTGTCAGTAAGACAGAGAAGGACCAAAGAAGACTCATTTCTGTACTTGCCTTAACATATGAAAGAAGAATCCTGGTTCTGGAAGTTGTCTTGTTTAGGAACTAGGACAAAAAACTCCAGAATGCCACAACTTCCAGGTTCTGGTTACAGTTGTTACAGGGAAGAACTTTCTAGCACAGACCTTAACTTAAAGTACATGTTTTATGGGCCACCAGTTCTGTTGAGATGTAAAAGTGGCTTGTTCACCTTTACAAGAAGTTCACCAGTTTCCTGTTTCCATCATCTTTGCTGCTACAGTCTTTTACATACTCGTGAAATGTAACAACCCAATGGTCTAATGCAGAGCTTTCCCAAGTTGGGTCTCCAGCTGTTGTTAGACTACAACTCCCATCATCCCTGACCACTGGCCCTGGTAGCTAGGGAAATGGGAGCTGTAGACCCAACAGCTGTAGACCCAACTTTGGGAAACCCTGTTCTAATGGAAACCGAGCAATGGGCCTAGAAGCAATATTTCTTGAGCCTTTCCCCTTGACATACAAATTGTCTCATACAGAATCAGACCATTGGTCCAACTAGTCTCTACTGCCTACTCTGAAGGCCAGACTAGATGTGGAAATAACACATGGTAGACTGTAGCTTATTTTGTTTTCTTAAGTAAGGACAAGGGCAAGGGAGACACAATTCTTACTGTAAAGGCAGTTCATGAGAAATGAAGTCTTATATCTGCAGCCCACTACTGGGATTGGAAAGGAGATCATTGCCTCTCCCTCCCCCAAATAGATTGTATCTTAAAGGACTAGGGAAAAGTCCATTTGCACCAATGATTCCCCCTCCCCACACCCCTAAAGCTCCTAGTCCCACAATTAGTGGCAACAGTATGGCATGGAATCTTTATTTCAATCTTAGTGGGAAGTGGAGAGATAATCCCCTTCCACCGCAGGTTGTCTTTACAGTGAGAATTGCTCCTATAATTAGTGAAGAAAAAACAATATGCATAACAACCTACAATCTATTTAAGTGCCTACTAGTTTGGCTTAGCCAGCCACGCTCCAAAGACTCAAGCATAGATATATCCTAGCCCAGTCTGGGACCTATCACAGGAAAAGCATATGCTTTGTCATTGAGCTATGGACCCTATCTTCCAACATCAGTGCTGAGGTATGTGCTGTTCGTGTATGAGGGGCCAGCTTCAATCCTAGCATCTCTAAAGACCTCAACCTGAGACCATTGATTGCTGACAATTCTGCTGTAGGTCAACCACTGGACTACCTCATTTTAAGGCTGCTTCTTGTAACCTACGTCTTATACTCACACGTAAATCCAGGGGGAAGGGACGTAGCTCAGTGGAAGAGCATCTGCCATGCATGCAGAAAGCCCCAGGTTAAATCGCCAGGTAAGCCTGGGAAGGACACCTGCGTGAAACCCCCAAGAGCTTCTGCCAGTTAGTGTAGACAATACTGACCTTGATGGATCAAAGGTCTGACTCAGTGGCCTGGGTCTCATGTTACACTATGTCAAACTCTGGCTTAATGTGTACATGTGAGTGCACAGGTACTCAGGGAGGAGAGTGGCCATTTAGCTCATCTGCAAAGATACAGGTTTATTGAATAACAACCTCACTATCAGTCGAGGTAGTTAGAGGCAGTATTGGTAGTTAGAGTAATAATAATAATAATAATAATAATAATAATAATAATAATTTATTTATACCCCGCCCATCTGGCTGAGTTTCTCCAGCCACTCTGGGCGGCTCCCAATCAAGTGTTAAAAACAGTACAGCATTACATATTAAAAACTTCCCTAAACAGGGCTGCCTTAAGATGTCTTCTGAATGTCAGGTAGTTGTTTATCTCTTTGACATCTGATGGGAGGGCGTTCCACAGGGCGGGCGCCACTACCGAGAAGGCCCTCTGTCTGGTTCCCTGTAGCCTCACTTCTCGCAATGAGGGGACCACCAGAAGGCCCTCGGCGCTGGATCTCAGTGTCCGGGCTGAACAACAGTTGCAGTCATTGTGAATGAGCCAGATTTCCTTGTGATTACATCTGAGGGATTCATGTACCTAAGAATTCAGGAAGCATCAAGGTGGATTGTTCTTACACCTCATACAGTACTTGGTCCAGCTTGCCCATTCCTGTGTTGTTGGGCCAACTTATTATGAGGCTACCTTCCAAGCATTGATTTAGGAGCCTTGCTTTAAGGCCTATTTTGAATGGTTTCCATGCAAAATGTGTTCCTTTATGTTACCATCTTATAACTTCACCCTTTCTGTCTTCCTCCTGCAGAGTAACGATGCCTCAGGGAGCGCTTGGAACTGGCTATACTTCATCCCCCTCATCATCATTGGATCCTTTTTTATGCTCAACCTTGTGCTGGGGGTGCTTTCTGGGTAAGTATGTAGCACACCTGTCCTAGACAGAGCTTGGAATTGCCTTTCTCAGCCCTGCAAATGAAATGATGTTTAACAGCAACTGAACACCATGACAGGGTTCATTTCTACCTTTGATCTTCAAACACTCACTGTGTAGCTCTGTGTCTTGATTTTGTGTAGCTCTGTGTCTTGATTTTGTTTCTCTTCTGTGTCATTCTTTACAGAGAATAAGGCTATCAGTGGCTAGTAGTCATAATGACAGCGTACTACTTCCAGTAACAAAGGCAATATGTCTCTGAATACCAGTTGCTGAGGATCACAAACAAGAGAGTGCTGTTGCACAAACATCTTGCTTGTGGACTTCCAGAGGCCTTGTTGTTGTTACTATTATACTACTACTACTACTACTACTACTACTACTACTATTATTATTATATTTGTACCCTGCCCATCTGACAGGGTTGCCCAAGTCACTCTGGTTAGCTTCCAACAGATATAAAACATAATAAAACATCAAACATTAAAAGCTTCCCTATACAGAACAGCCTTCAGGTGTCTTCTAAAAATTGCATAGTTATGCATCTCCTTCACATCTGATGGGATGGCATTCCACAAGGTGGGTGCCACTACTGAGAAGGTCCTCTGCCTGGTTCTCTGTAACTTCACTTCTCGCAGTGAGGGAACCGCCAGAAGGCCCTTTGAGCTGGATTTCAGTGTCTGAGCTATACAATGTGGAGTGGAGACATTTCTTCAGGTATGCATCTGATTGGCCATTGTGGGAAAAGAAGTCTAGACTACATAGGCCTTTGGTCTGATCCAGAAGGGTTCTTCTTATCTCTTCTTGTTCCTCTTGTGATTCAGCCAGGGTCATGGAGAACCTCTAGCAATCTGTCCCATTCTTACCTGCAGGGAGTTTGCCAAAGAAAGGGAGCGGGTGGAGAACCGGCGAGCATTTCTGAAGCTGAGAAGACAGCAGCAGATTGAACGGGAGCTCAATGGCTATATGGAGTGGATCTCCAAAGCAGGCAAGTACTGCTCCATGCCTCTTAATCCCGCATGCCCTCTTCTGGTATTTGCTGCACTTCCTGGCTTTTCTCTTGGAAGCCGACTTAAAGATTTTATCCTCTGGTTTGAGTGTGACAGCCAGGTTGTTCTTCTTCTCCACATTGCTACCTTTATGACCAACAAAATCTACACTACAAGTTCAGCTCAAGTGTTTTGCAGTTGCTGATTTCTCAGCTTTGCCTTTTGGGAAACTCCCACAATCTTGCCTGTCTCTGTAGTAGAGACTGAGCTGGTGTACGTGTGAACACGAAGTTTATCAAAAAGTGCTTCAGACCTACCATAAAAAATAAGTGGGGGAGAGATTTTGTGTTAATAGTTGCTATTCACTTATTTCACTGAATGAGGCTTTTGTTAGATAAAATTGTGATTTTGTCCAATACATGAAAAGTTTCCAGCTTTTAAGAAACATCTCAGTTTTGTAGTTTTGCTTTTGGGATCTTAGAGGGTGAACTTGAAGAGTTGGTTGTTGAAGTTTTGTTCTGAGAAAAATATATTTGACTCTTTCAGCTGAATATTTCAATTTCAGTGAATTAATAAAATCAGTTTAACTTGCTGCTTGTTGCTTATATTGATTACTTACTGCTTATACTATTATGTACTAGTTATAAGGGTAAAACAGAAATAAATTCAGTATAAATATTTTTACTTGGAAGTATCTGGTTCAGAAAGCCTCTGAAAACAGAAGCCAAATTTTATGTATCTTTTAATCACTGCTGTAATTGTGGATGAATCAGAGGACTTCATGAACCCTAATAAGGGCCAGACTATTTGTGATGTGATTGTCCGTGATCTGGGTCTTCTCTTTTTAATGGGTTTGTTTTTTACTTGTCTGGATCTGCTAATTCAATCAAGGGAAAAGCACTTGAGGAAGGGAGTGTTTAACCCTTTCCTCCCACACCCTTCCCCAAACTAAATTCTTCCCCCAAGCTGTTCTTGGCTTCGAAAGTTCGGGGAGACATGCTTAGTATCTGTGCCTGTGTTTCTGTACACCTCTGTGTAGCTAATAGCTGCACTAGAGTTGAGGATGTTATTTAAAGAATGGAAATGGTGTGGGAGAAAAGGGTTGAAAACTACCTATCCAACAGTACTTCGCCAATCAAATTCATAGCCCCACATTGTTACCCTGATCACTGATCTCCTGCATATAATGCACTGAGCTGAGCTTCTACTTTGTGAGTCTAGTGACAGAATCAGCGACCAAGGTGCATGTCACACTAGGATGGGTGCTGATGGGCACCGAATGTGGACAGCAAATGACATGTCTTCCTAGGATTTTGTTTGGGTCAGGGGTGCATAGTTATCCATATACAACTTGCAGCAGAATTCTTGTCTCTGCATAGCAGATGTAAGAAATCTCAGGTTGTGTGCACTGTTCACAGCACAGCACAGATGGAGAAGTGATGTCAATGTATGTAACCCCTTGCCATTTGCCTTGCACTGACCAGCGCAGCGTGTGGGTGGTCACCCCTTAGTTTCATGAGTGGTATTAAAAAAACAATATGTGGATAATAGGGAGACATTTTGAGAATTCCTGTGATACATATTCGGGTGTATGTAAAAACATCCCCAAGGCCAAATAAGAAAGCTGCCCTTCCTTTCACAGGTTCCTGCCCAAGTTAGTTTGTTCACTTGGCTTCCCTTTTCATTGCATGAGAGGTGGGTTTCTTAGGGCAACTGTCTGCCCAAACATGTTCTGGAGCTACCCATCTCTTCTTTGATGCATTTGCCTCACTTGCCTCCTGCAAAGCTTAATGCCGCCCATAGTTTAATTTCGCACATTTGTCTTAGAAGAAGTGATCCTGGCTGAAGATGATATAGAAGGAGAGCCTCGTCACCCCTTTGATGGTAAGCCACCGTCTTCTACAGACTATTTTATGTGGGAGCAGGAGGGAAGCAGCAAGCTACCAGTCACATTGGGATGTGGGCTTGATCTACTTTGATTATGGACTGTATAAGGATTGTTACATTCAAGCAATGGAAATACAGCAACTGTGGTTAACTGGGCCATGAGCCTGAAAACAAGAGCTGAAAATCATACAAAAATTTTGGCTTATCCCAACAGGTGGTATCATTGTAGAAAGGTCTTCTACCCTAGTAGAGGGACCTGTTTTTTCTGCTGGTGTGGTAAAGTGGATAGACTAAAGGTCTTGGAGACCTAGGTCCATACTTTAGATCAGTCATGAAATTAGGGCCAAATGTTACTTGTAAGTGCATGTTTGTAAATCTTTGTGACTGCTTTATTTATGGGAAAGCAGGTTCAAGAAGGAGCAATTACAGGTGGGAAGGTGTGGATAAATGTTAATTCTCTCCTTACTTGCTATTTTCCCACTCCAGATGCATGTTTACCCTTGTATATCTGTAACCCTTCAGGATGTAAAGTTCCTTAAGGGTATAGTTGCGGGTGATTTGGAGGGGGAAATTGTGTGTAAAAATGGTTTAAACTTCCTCTCCTTGCTTTTACCTCTCTGAATTACTGCCTCTCAAATATGCTTTTCCACAAACAAAGGACTGTCAGGGTTTTTAAAAAGGACGTTAACATGTAGCATCTAGGTTGGTCCTCAGTAGGTGAGCAGGGAATCGAAAGTGGTTCGGTCTACTTTGCTTCCACTTGCTCCCAATTAGGTGAGTGGGGAAAGGGCATGAACTATGGGGTCACCAATGTGGCGCCTACAGGTCCTTGATTTTTTGCTGGTGTCCACAAAGCCTCTGAGATCTTACTTGCTCTTGCTCCATATCTCCTTCACCATGAGGTGGAGAGAGTGGTTACCTTTCCCATCCTTGAGAAGAACATATAGCTGAAGGAGGGAGCAGGAAGGCTAGTGTTCTTTCCCCCTTTCTTTTTCAGTTTGAAGTGCTTGTTCAAGGTTCAGTTCAGAGCCTGATTGCTGAACAGAAAGCAGATTAACCCAAAATGTAAAGGGAGAGGGCAGGAGGGAAAGGGGAACAAACTAGAAGACTGGGGAGAGGAAAATCGAGT